AAATGCTATGTTTTTCAGTGGCTGAAAATGCATATGTATTCCTAGTTTTTGGAAACTCATTTTTAGAAAATAGTCACTGAGTATCATTTTATTCACTTTTCTTTTAAAGCCTACTAGCATCAATATCTTTTATAATATGTATTTTGACAGTATCTAAAATAGATGAAAATATTTTGATAACTATTTTGATACAAAGATTTGCTTAAAGTCATTGTGATTCTTTATAGATAATAGCACAAATGAAAGGCCAAAAGTATACATTAACTTCTTCAGAAGGGTGGAGAGAATCATATTAATTAAGGGTGAAGATAGTTGGTAGCCTGGAGTATAGTGTAAATAGGTGGAGTAGGTAGAACCAAACTTGATTTTAAGTGTACTAAATGGAATTTTGTTTATTTTAAATACAACAAAGAATAAATGAAAAAGACATCATTTTATAGGCCTTAGCAGGATTATCTTGAGGAGATCTTAAAATGAATGAAATCAAAGTTATTTATATATATATATATTTGTACATTTAATCTGTAGATAAAAATAGTAGCATACAAAGTTATATCTTGCTTACCCTTGGACAAAAGTCTACTAGTTCTAACAGATTATGAAATCAAATCTTAAAGCTTCTAAGCTTTTTGTAAAAATTAAAAGTTATTTTAGTAGCTTTTTCCAAGCTGTATACATCCCTAATATTTTATTTAATTCTTAATGATGCATATAGCACTTGTCCTCTTGAAGTATTTTTGAAAGCCTTCACTTCTTGATGGTTCTAAAACATCTCATCACCAATATTAAGGAGGAAATTAAGTGAATGAGCACAGTGATTAGTTCAGACAAAAGTTGTCTGCTTTATTGTTAGAATTTTTATTTAAGAACGTCTGTCATGAGTTGGCTGTTTATACTGTTTCTGGATAATATTAAAAACCATCTCATTTTGCTGTACATCTGAAGCTAACACAGTATTTTAAGTCAACTATAGTTCAATAAAAAACTGTAGTTAAAAAAATTCCTACTTGGTCCCCAAATTAGATATTGTTTAAATATAAACAAAAATGATATTTTTAGTTCAATGTTAATGTCTCTCAACATTTATAAGTAGCAGCTTTTACTTCCCTAGAGTTCTGTCAGGTTTTTCTGTAGCTATTTTTCACCTAAAGTTCTTTTGAGTGTTATATAGTCTTTTGATTTTAACAATCAGAATATTTGCATTCAGTACTTTGGAATGATTCTAATTTAAGCACAGAGTTTAATTTTAAATTCTCTGAGACATAACGTATACAAAACCAACCCTAACTGGGAACACTAGTGATTGCCTATAGTGTTTTATAATGGCCATTTTTACTTTGATTACAAAGACCCAGTTTCTTAGAACCCCATAATGTCTGTTGCTTCAGAATAAAAAGGAAGTATAGGAATCTCTGGGAAGATACCTGTGAGTATGATTGAATCACACTCTTGTATCCATTTAGCTTTGCCTGTTCTTCTAGCCAGAGAATGCTTCTGAAAGTAGGATATTAACTGCATGCAAGCACTTGTGTTTGCATGCTAGGAGGTAGCCATAAAGCTTACAGCATCTTAATTCAGAGCAAATGGCAGTTTCAGTCTCTTTAGAATCATGAGAGCAGTTGAAAACTGGATATACAGTATATATTTATGAAGAAAATAGCAGTAAACCATGGAATTCATTATTCTTATGAAATGTATGTAATAGTTCTGTAGCTGCAACACATTTTAGAATCTGAATCAGAAGATTTATAGGTCACCTTTTAGCAACATTTCTGTGATGTTAGGAATATTAAAGGATTTCTGTAGATTATATAGCATATCACTGTGTGTTTATATATAAAACACACATTATCAGTTACCTGAAATATAAGGTTAGCAGAAAAAAAATTTTTTTTTGAATTAGCGGTAAATTGGTTCATCCAAGTTCGCAGTTTACTTTCACAACATAGGTGTGCAGACAGTTTGTTTAGATGTTTAGTTTCCCCCCATCTGTTCTGTCAGGATTATTGATTGAGCAGAAAGCCACTCCAGGGCACACGCAGCTCCTCAGAGCTACTGCGTCAGCGCTTTGTGTGGCCTGGCGGACAAGCTGAGGAAGTTGCTCCTTCAGCCTCCCAGTAAATCTATATTGAAATGAAAATGCCTTTGAAAGTACCCATTCACGAGCTCAATATTTACTTTGGGAACTTTAATTGATGGTATCATTTTTAAATTTATTATTTAATGTCATTCTTTGAAATTAGTGACCATTCAAGAGCTGTTGACAGTGATTTTTAAAACTCAGCTGGTTTTTGATAAGTGAAGGTGTGCACATCGAATGTCGCCAAATATTGATCAGGTATTACCAGATCACTTAAAAGTGATTGATAACTGCTGTGACTTCCTTGAATCTTGGGTTTTATTAGAAAGTGAAGCAATCTCTGTCTCCTAGTGGACAAATGGAAACTGCACCTTGTTTCCTAGAACTTGGGCTCTGTTTGGGGTTTATTGATGTGACCTCTCACCATTTTTTAACATTTATATTCTTTTAGTGTTTCAAATCCCCACTTGTTCTTCATCTCTGGGCATTTGTGTTAAATGTTCTCATAACATGTGAGGCTACATCTAGGGTTACAGAGGACAATAGTTATAGAAGGAAATACCAAATATCTTCCTTCATATTTTAACTTGATTTTAGTTTAAACATTAATGACATTGATTTCATGGAAAAGAACACTGTCTTTAGTTTAGTTCTTCAGATAAGTCTTTCAGTGAATTATTTCTTTAGAAGCAGATTTTGATCTGCATATATATCCAGATTGTATGATAAATTGCATTGTAATGGATTTTGAAATGTATTAACGTTATACCTCTACATTATCATGCATCTTACTCTTTGGATCAGCCCTGGTGCTAACCATGAAGTTAATTAGCATTTTTGCTAGGAGGGGAAAAAATCATCAGAGGTAATCAGAAGGAACTGCAACTCTTAGGTTAAAGAATGTAAATTTTATATATTACTAGGCTGTGGGTGTTAATTTCAGTCAGGAATTTCTACATTATTTCAAAGTATTATATTTTGAATTAGGTGTAAGGAGAAAGGATACTGTATGAATAGTGGTAACATTATTTTATAGTATATCCACATGTAGAATATTATAATCACTTTTATTTTTATTTTCTGTGTATTTCATCTTCCAGCTGTCTTGAGGTGGGAGTTGAACAGAAATCTTTCTTTTTAATTGATGACAAAGACTTCCAGATAAAGAGGACTGGCTGAGTTGTTAGGATATTTTCTCCTCAACATTGCCTAAGTTTTACATGTCACTGAGATATGTTAGTTACATCACATTTGTTCAGTACAGAGTAATACAGCAAACAATTCTAATTGTAGCATTATGTATGTATATTTCAGTTAAAGCTCGTATGTTCAGAAGCAAAACCACTTATCTTGAGAATCAGTGTTCATTTTACGAAGCTAAATAAAATATACTTTATTTTATCAAACATTTTTTTACAATACAGTTTTATTTTTCAGTTGCTTATTTCTCTTCAAAAATAAAACCTTTTTTTATGTACTCACTTTCCCTTCTGGCTGCAAACCAGGTATTTAAACAAAAATAAAGGATTGCCAGTTTTGCCAGCTGGGGATGAGAACCCGGCTGGTGAAATGTGGGTTCGGGAGGCAGTTAATCCAGCTTTTATGCTTTTTATGGTTTTATGAAAAAAGAGGTTAAAAACCACATTTGGCTCTTTTCTGTGTGTACCACTGTTTTGTTGGTGTTGTAGGAGTGCAATAAGAGGTTACTTAGACTTAAAAATTTTTGTTATTAGGTAAAATCCAGCATCTATTAGATAAAGGCCTACAGACAGCACATTCTGCTGATTGGCCATGGGATAGATTAAAAAGTCACTGGTGTTTAAAAATTACATTACTATACAAAAACAGTATCTTGAAATAAAATATTAAAAGATCCAAATGATTAATTTCCACTGAATGAGGAACATATCTTGTATAAAGGTAATCATATTTTTCCTGGTACAAACAGCAAGTTATGTTTCAATTTGAACAGGTTGCTCTAGCACAGCATAACTGGTATTTGCATATTGTTTCTTACTAAATATATTTTGCATGTCATGTGTTTTGGGAAGTAAATTTAAGGGCATATACCAGACAGATACTGAGTCCATGATTTTTATTGTTTGTGTTTAATAGAAATTGTTGTGAGTTCTAAAACTTTGGATACTAAAGTTTATTACAACTCAGTCAATCTATCTTTATATTCACTCTGTTGCCTAAATATTTCCTGCAAGAGTTTTAATATGTAGGGTCCTCCAAAAGGTTTCATATATATTTTCATGATTGTCATGCCCTGGATGCTTCTTTAATACAATTCATCTGTTTACTCCTATCTGTCACTGATTTGTATTAGTTAGTTCTTCTCAGTGCAAGAAGGTGTTAGACACATTATGTTCTCTATAATCAACACAGTTTAGCTCTGAGTTGTTGCTTACTGACCACCTTAGTGGAGCCAGAATGAAAAATTAAGTAGGGCTAAGTGAAAATGGGTAAGTATGCAAATAGTTTTCTTTGGATCCTTAGGGTACTCATATATTCATTTACTTTGTTTTGCTGTTCACTGGCTAAGTTATGTCCGACACGTCCAACACTTTGCGACCTGACGTTGTAGACTGCAGCATGCTAGGCTCCTCTGTCCTCCACTTAATTCATTTATTTAGAATCTTCCAGTAGGCTGCAGAAAAGGTTGCAATACCTCTTTTTTACCCACCCCTTATATCTGGCTATATATTGAACATTTCACATATTTGATGTGATTTATATCTTTTGTAAGCTTCTTCATAGTTTAAATGTCAAGATCACAGAATCGCCTACTTTGGTTTTGAAAGTTATGATTCACTTTTGTGTAAAAAGCTTATGTTTTATAAATAATGCTTTAAAAGTTAACATGTAAAAATTAACCTTTTAAAAAAAATTAATCTTTTACTGGTTTCACTTTTAGGTATTAGAGGATAATGACTATGGCCGAGCCGTGGATTGGTGGGGCCTTGGGGTTGTCATGTATGAAATGATGTGCGGGAGATTACCTTTCTATAACCAGGATCATGAGAAACTTTTTGAACTAATTCTAATGGAAGACATTAAATTTCCTCGAACACTCTCTTCAGATGCAAAATCATTGCTTTCAGGGCTCTTGATAAAGGATCCAAATAAACGGTAAGCCACAAATAACATGCAGTGAGTTACTGATGAATGTGGTTAGAAATTGTGATATGGAAATTAATTCACGTATAACTAACTCCAAGAAGCAATGTATTTGATGCAGACATCTTCCCACTGAGACACTGACTTATTTTTAACTGCATAATATAGAACATTTAAAATTTTTTCTCAACTCTTCCCTAACTTGGAAATTTTATACAGATTTTACCAAATAAGGATTTTGAGAGTGTTACAAGCAAACAATTTCCTCATTTGCATGGTGCTTGCTATTGTGGGGATAGGAGGATCCCTTTTTTCCCTTTCAATCTCTGGGCTTTATATTTTTGCTGATTTACATTATAAAATGGGTAGAACTGTCTCTATACTGTCCTCCCACACTAACCTATGTTAACATATCTAGCTACTTTTTTTGTTTGTCGTTTGAAGATAATTCTTTTTCATGCACGGCTGAAAGGACTAGTGGAAAAAATGTCTTTATACACTTTGTATTTCTATTTTTATAGCTACAGCTATGACCTGAAAAATCCTACAGTTCTTTGCTTAATGAGCTATAGTATTCTTTGTTCATGTTTGTATATTTATTTATACATACATTTTATAAGTCACACATGAAATGACTATTAATTATAAAATGTCTCAATCTACGTGTTTGTGTATACATGTAAAGTCATTGTTCCATTAGATAGATAGATAGATAGATAGATATACATATCACTATTTCTCTGAAAATCTCTCAGACCTTAAGTATCTGAAGGGTAGACCATTTTATATATTTAACTTTTTGTAACACCTCACATAATTTTCATAATGTTCTGTTAGTGGTTGATGCTCAATATGTATTTGTGACAGACTGAATTAATGAGTAAAGGAATAAGTGAATTCTAAAATGTGGACTCTGTTTACCTTGGAGAAGGTTTCCATCACACACTTACAGCTTTTAAATTTGTGAGGAACATGATTGTCCCTTCGGCAGAAATAAGCAAACATAATAAAAGAGGTACCATCTTTTTGCTTAGTGAGGAACCATTCAAAAATGTTTCTGAATCCTGTAACTGAGACCTTACCTTATATTTATAAAGTAATTTTGTGTTCTTTGCCAGGACATTTGCATATCTCTTATTTCCCTTGCTTTTTAGTAGCCTGTGGAGTAGAAGGGATAGATAGTATTCTCATTTCCATTTGACTGGGAGAAAATTAGGCCCAGGGAGGTTTAAGTGATTTATCCTAGTTCTCACAGAAAATTCATGTAGAACAAGAATAGAGATCAAGTTTTTATGTACCTATTTGATATTTATCTTGTATATTCTTTATAGTGGACCGTGTTCTTGGTTTAGGTTTTAAAATGTATTCCATTTGATGTGATTGTTTCACAACTGTTGTAACAGTGGAGCTAGGATTTCTGTTCTATCTACTTGAGTTTTGGATCTAATATTTGCCTTAGGGCAGTGAATTTTTAACCCATCTTTTTCTGACTTCTCCTTCTGGTTTTCGTGTCTCCTTTATTTTTTTATTGTCGTTTCCCCACCCACCACCCTCACCCCACCCTCTGAGAATAGCATATAGTAATTATTGAATACATGTGAGGGGAATTTCTAGAATGTTAGTGGCCTGGTTTGTAGGACAAATCTTAAAGTTTTATCTACCTAGAGGTTGATACTGTCTAAAGAGAAGATGTGCTATTTTAAACTATCTGTTATTTCCCTTTTAAGGTACATAAGTCAAGCCCCTCCACTCCTACATTAAAATATTAGGAATGCATGATGAATAAGATGAATTATCTCTGCTCTAGGGATCCATAGAATAATGTGGGGTACAAAACATATTTACAGATGCTCAGGCTAAACTACAGACAAATGCTATTGAAATTATTAGCTATCTAGGGGATTGGAAAACTTGACCTGGCTTATGAAGGGGTTGGAATTTGCCGTGGTTTTCATGCAGAGAATTTTACATGTAAAGAACAGCTTGAATTACAAGTGAACATGACATTTGAGAAGTTCATCAGCTGGAGCATAGAGTATGAGTTGGGTGACATTGGGAGATGATGCTCATGTGTTAGATTCTAAGGTCCTTATGCTTCTTAGAAAATATTTAATCTTTATTCAGAAGGAGATGAAAGCCACTGAATTATTAATAGTAAGGGATGGCATAATCAGATTTGTGTTATGAAGAGATAACTCAGGCAGCTTTGTCATGGATAGATTAGAACAGTGAAGGACCAGGGGCAAGTAGGCAGAGTAATGAAGAATACATATGGAATTGTCCACATAAAGAGATGGAATCCATCCCCAAACAGTGGTAAATAGTGCTGAGTAGATTTTGTGAATGATTAAATAGAAATGATGAAGAAGTAGAAGGACTTTGGGATGCCTCTGAGGTTTCCAACTTGGATGACTAGTCTGGAGAAATGAAGTTATTATTGACAGAGTGGGAGTACAGGCAAGGGAGAAGGCCTGATGGGGAGGATGTTGATACTAGTTTTGCTGTTCTGAGCCTGAGGTTTCTGTAGAAAACCTAGATGTCAAGCAGGCAGCTGAAAATAGTACCAGTGCTTACTAGAAACAAAATAGCTGATTTCCTCCAGGTATATACCCAGGAATGGGATTGCTGGGTCATATGGTAGTTCTGTTTTTAGTTTTTTAGGGGACCTCCATACTCTTCATAGGAAACCTCCCAATTTATACTCCTTCCAACAGTGTAGGGGGGGTTCCCTTTTCTCTACATCCTCTTCAGTATTTATTGTTTGTAGATTTTTTAATGATGGACATTCTGATCAGTATGAGGTGATACATCATTGTAGTTTTTGATTTTCATTTCTTTAATAATAAGCGATGTTGAGCATCCTTTCATCTGTTTGTTGGCCATCCATATGTCTTGGAGAGATGTCTGTTTAGGTCTTGTGCTCATTTTTTCACTGAGTTGGTTGGTTCGTTGTTTGTTTTATTGAGCTGCATGAGTTGTTTGTATATTTTGGAGATTAATCCCTTGTCAGTTTCATTTGCAAATATTTTCTTCATTCTGAGGGTGTCTTTTTGTTTGGTTTATGGTTTCCTTTGCTGTGCAAAAGCTTTGAAGTTTAATTAAATCCCATTTGTTCATTTTTTGTTTTATTTTTATTATTCTAGGAGGTGGGTCAGAAAAGATCTTGCTGCAATTTATGTCAGAGAATGTTCTGTCTCTGTTTTCCTCTAAGAGTTTTATAGTGTCTGTGCTTATATTTAGGTCTTTAATCCATTTTGAGTTTATTTTTGTCTGTGGTGTTAGAGAGTGTTCTAATTTCCTTCTTTTACATGTAGCTGTCCAGTTGTCCTATCCAAAGTGAACTTATTTGCAAAGCAGAAATAGAGACACAGATGTAGGGAACAAACTTATGGTTACCAAGGCAGGCTAGGGAGGCGAGATGAACTGGGAGATTGGGATTGACATGTGTACAATGGTATGTGTAAAATGGTAACTAATGAGAACCTACTGAATAGCACAGGGAACCCTACTCAATGCTCTGTGTGGCCTAAATGGGAAAGAAATAAAAAAAGAGGGGATATAGGTATATATATAACTGATTGATTTTTCTGAACAGTAGAAGCTAACACAACATGGCAAAGCAACTATACTCCAGTAAAAAATTAATCTAAAAAAACAGAAACACAAACCTGAATATTTGGATTTGGGATCTGTAGATATGGCTCCATGCCATGAGAATAGTGAAAAGAGTAGAATATAAAAAGAAGACACCCTAGGACAGAGACTTGGGAAATGCCAAAAACTTAGGAGGTAGAAAGAAGAGAAAGAGCCAACAAAGGACCCTGAAAAGTCTTCGGAAACATAATCAAAGATAGTATACCTCTTTATTGTTCCTGTTCAATTATTTAAATACTGCTTCAGTTTTTCTGATACTCTTTACTGAATTGCTCTTAGTTCTATCAAAGAGTCAGCTCTCAGTTTGCTTTTATTTCTTATTCTTCATTACTTTATGATTATTCTGTTAGTATCTCTTTTAACATCCTATGCAAATTTTGTAGGAACATCATAACCTCATGTTGCATTCAGTAACATAAGGAAAATGTAAATCCCATGTTGCTTCTAGTTATGAAGAATCTATAATGGCTGAGGATTTTAGATTAGCTTTCTGATATGGGAATTTAGTATTCTTAGACAAAAATATCTTAATGTAAATCATATTTTGATATTATTTTGAAGTCTTAAATTGTATATTAGGGAGTCATTGACATTGAAATTTTTGACAGTTTCACACTTTGAAGAAGCTTGTGTTAAAGAATCTCTACCAACTTCTAAAATGGCAGTCTAAGATTATATTCTTAGTCTTTGTATAGTATTCATGGCCTATACTTTAGTTATATATATATTTGATAAATGTAGATTAAATGCTGACTATGTCCAAAGCCAAATATTGCTTGAGAACTAAGGAGTGACATAAAAATGAATGACTGAAGCTGAATTAAAACTTTTATTTCTAAAAATGATTATAGTTTTCCATTTTAACTGCTGCTTCACTCACCATCTCGTCCATATTTTAGATTGAAAATAGTATTGAACTAAATAATAACATAGATATAAGAAAATACAATGAACTTCTGATTTTTCTCATACATACTACTTTGATGCATACTTTGAAATGTTAAATAATTCTTTCAGAAGCAAGTATTTTGGTGTTTCTGCTTTTCTGGCTTCCTAAGCACAGGCTTAAAACACTTTTTGGATAATCCAGTACTGAACTCTCCCCTCAAATGAATTTGCATTCTACCAGGGGAGAGGCATACATAACCTGAAATAGAATGAGAAAGAGTGAGGCCAGTAGTCCAGTGCTGAGTGTTAACTAAATATAGAGTTGCCAGTCTGAGAGTTCCACATATGAACATAACTATTATGATCTGATCTGATCCAATCTGAAAGTTCCAGTCAGAGGTGTGATTTATCCTGTATGAATCTTAGGATAAAAGACCTGGATACTGAAAACTATAGGATCAGCACTACAGATGTTCAGAAATCCGCTAATTGTTTTGTTTTTCCATTCTGACAGTGTGTTCAGAGGATCCTGGATTCTTCCTAGTGATGTATTGCTTATACCTAATAATAACCAGAGTTCATTAAAATTGTATAATTGCTTATTTTCTATGACATGTTTGCTTTTCTTCCTACCCAGTGGTGTGTTGGGAGTTGACATGTACCAGCTTAGAATAGCCAGTTGATAAATATCAAGAATTTTGTGAGCTGGTTGTTGAAAACAGACATTTAAAAAAATTACATTATATAAACTTATAATTAAACTGGGAACATTAAAATCAAGAATAGAAAATACTCAAAACTCATCACTCTTTGATAATGTTGTTAAATTTTACTCTTCTCTGTACTTTTGAGGATACTTATATATTTTGAGGTTGGAAAAACTGTATGTTTTGCTTCTGCACATCTTCTATCGATAAATCTAATAATACATATATGTGTTATATTATATATCTATAATTTCCCAAGATAGCTGATTATTAAACATTTACCATCATGTATCATTCCTAACAATAAGAGTAAAATCAAATAAAACTTGCTTTATCAAATTCAGATTTAAAAATAGATTTCCTTTATTTTATTTTCCTCCTGTTCCTCTGTCCTTTCTTTCTTTCTCTCTTTTTCCTCTTTTCCTCTCATCTTACTTCCTCCTCTGTTATTTTCTGTTTCTCTCATCCTTTCTTCATAGTGACTAATATGTACTATATGAAACTGAGAAATCTAGAAAACACCTGAATTTCAGATTGTGACAGTTGAATAAGAGTACCTTCAAAGATGGGGTGAGGGTATTTTTTAATTTTTAATTTATATTGAAACTTGTATAGCAGATTCCATTGTAGTGATATTTCATATATTAACTTTCTCACTTCTGTAAAAATTCATTTGAAACATGAGAGCAATTTATTGGTTTCTGTTAGCAATGCTCTCTAAATTTTTTTTTTCTAACCAGTTATGTAGTCTTTTCAGAATTTATGTTGACAAGGGTGCATTTTGATTAAAGTCATTCTAAAATAATTTAGGTTTGAAAATTGACTATAGCTACTATTTATTGTGCTAGGTACTTGTCATTTCTAAATACTTAGCATTTAGAAATAACAAGTACCCTAACAGTAATCTTCCATGCTGGTATTATTATTCCCACTATACAGATGAGAGAACTGAGCTTAAGTAATTTTTCATTGTCATACATCTCATAAGTTCTAGAGTTGCTTGCCTAGTTCTGGTTTGTCTCCAAAACTTGTGCTTTTTTCAACTACCATACTGTCCCAAGGCAAATTCTTATTAATAGTGAATTAGGAAAACTAGATCTTACTACAAAAGCTTTTTATTTTTATGGCCATTTCTCACAAGAACTATTTACACACAGAAAGTTACATTTCACAAAAGCTTTGTAGTTATGCATTCAGCTTATGCAAATGTTCTATAATCATTTAATTTTATTTCTGTTCTCACAGCCTTGGTGGAGGACCAGATGATGCAAAAGAAATTATGAGACACAGTTTCTTTTCTGGAGTAAACTGGCAAGATGTGTATGATAAAAAGGTAGGTTATCTTCATGACATTGTATTTTTACTCTTTTAACTGAATATTGAACTTCTTAACACAAAACATTATTGATAGTTTTTGCATCTGAAATGCATTTTGAAATTTTATTCAATGTGATCAGTTTTTCTCTTTGTTATCAGTAATATGTTAGTCTACTTCTCATCATTTAATTCAGAAAAAATAAAGGCACCAATATCATGTTATTCTTCAGGAAAACTAGCAAAACAATCACAATTTTGAAACTTTGTCTCTATAACCTTTCATTTTAAAGTGAACTCTTCATGTTTATTTATACAGTTCCTTATTTTTAAGAGGAATTTAAAGCAGTCTAGTTTTAATATGTAACAAAATAATACATTTATTTGTCTTCTTTGGGGCTTCTCTTTTACTTGAAATAGAAATTTAAGACTTACAAGATGGATGCTACAAATCACATAATTTTATTTTTACTCCAATCTCTACTTGTTTCTAATAGTGCAGTGTTTACTTAAGTTTAGGAGTAGGAAATTATTGTCTGTTTTATCTTTTAAATTTTTTTAATTTTGTTTTTATTACTTCAGATATTGTTAGTACAGTCAATGATTTTGATATTTTGATTTTCAAATGCTCATATGAAAATTTTACTATGAAATTTTTGTTATTCAGCATTTGCTTATAATTCTTATCTAGTCAGTTTATGTACTCAGTCCTTCCATTTCAGTTTATTCTAGGTTTTCATGTTTTTCTCTGAAATGTATTAATTAGCAACATTTATGCAGTGTCTTAATTTGTGCTAAATACTCTGTTAATCCCTAAAGCAGAGATAAAATGATATCATAGAGTTATGAGGAAGTAAGACAAGTGTATCATTTTTGTATTATGTTACAGTAATAGGGAATGTGGTGGTTTTAAGCACTTCTTATAACTAGGTGTTTAAAATAGAGGTGTTTAAAATGTTATGGTACCTCTACTCAAACTTTAATTAAACTTACATTTCTTGAGTTATGGTACTTGTACTCAAACTTCAATTAAACTTACATTTCTTGAGTTCCTAACATGTATAAAGCACTGAGGTAAGTACTGGATCCTTCTCAAACCTTGTGAGAAGTTTGTGATCATTCTTAAGTATCCTCAATGTTTATTAACTTCAGGCAGACATTTATATATCTACTTTATAATACTGATGAAATTCTTTATGAGTGGCATCTATATACAGCCCCTAAAGCACCACTTGCTGTTTATCATGTCAGTGCACGGCAAAAGAACCTAGAAATAATATATGATCAAAGGTTTCCTTTGGCACACAGTTATAAGCCACAACTAAATGTTCCTTTGGTATGTACTCTGTCCAAAGAGGACTCCACCACCACCACCACCACCAAAACAGAAAGAAACATTTCCTTAAGAGACAAAATGTGGGGCACTGGTATGGCACTGCTAACTTTAAAGAAGGGGCAAAATATGGATTTTCTTCAGTCCTATTCAGAGAGTCAGATACGCTACTAAGATTGTAGTTTGGCATCACCTAAGGAATGCACTGAGAACCCAGCCAGCCCACAGTGGAGAAACAAGGCTTATCCTGTCTCTGCCCATGGGCTCAGCATGCCCAGAGTGAAGGTACTGTTAAGACACCCAGGCAGCTCCCTTGTGGTGAATGAAACTGGAGAAGCCAGCAAGAAGGGCAGGACAGGGAGCTGCCAAAACAGAGCTTTAGATGATGTACGTGAAGAAATGAACTTAAGTTGTTAGAGTTTAGATAAAAATAGTTGCTGCTGAATTTGAGCAAAAATGTTAAGTATCCTGCATAAAGAAGCACAACCACAAAAATCACCAAGGTTCTACTAGTTGACACTTGCTACAGGTTTACTCGGGGGTGTGGGTGGTATCCTGGATGTCATATGGCACTGATGTTTTTAGCCACCTTCATACACCTGAAGAAGAGCAATGTCATAGCAGCATGCTTAAATTTTGACACTCTTTCTAAAAGGTGGTGGAAATATGATTGGGTTTATTTGGGTTTGTATTGTGTTACAACAAACAAGGAATTAATTATAGGAATGCTAATACAGTAGCTATTTTCATGAATTTACTTGTGTTTTCAAACATTTTTGAGGGGTCTTGTATCTTTAAAATACTTAACTTATTCTTCATCTCTAAGGTCAGGTACTTTTCAGTTTTACTAATGTGCTTTGGGGGAATTGCTGTTTTTATAGATTTGTGACATGATTATTGGCCATTTTCCTATTGATACGTATCATGGTAAACTCTCCAGATGAAGGTATGTGTGAAGATACTGGTATGTTTAGCGGAAGGGCTTCCCCAGTGGCTCAGTGGTAAAGAATCCGCCTGCCAATGCAGAAGATGCAGGAGACACGGGTTTGAGCTCTGGGTTGGGAAAATCCCCTGGAGGAAGAAATAGCACTCCATGCCAGTATTCCTGCCTGGAAAATCCCATGACCAGGGGGGCCGAGCAGGCTGCAGTCCAGGGGGGTCACAAAGAGTCAGACAGGACTGAGCGCCTGAGCATGAGCACCTCTAGGGGAAAGTGAAACTTCTTCCTAGGGAAAGCTAAAAAGTATCATCATGGACCACTCCTAATAACTGTACTGGAAGATGGGGGTACTCATCCTAGATGAGATGGCTGCTTCTCTCTTGTGTGGAAATGGACAAGTTGTTCTGTACCCACAGGAAATTATGATCATTGAAGTGTCTTCAGTCTTTCAGATTCTCTGGTAGGGTGTTTTATATGAATTTATCTAGGTAAATTTCTATATGTTTTATCCTCAGTTTGTCAACTTTATACACAAAAGTCTGCTGGGAGTTTACTGTGAGACTGTGTTCAATTTATAGAAGAATCTGGGAAGGATTGGCATTTGAAAATGCTGACCTCTTCATTTATTTAGGCCTTCTTTAATTGCTCTCAGTAATGTTTCATAATTTTCAATGTTTAGTTCTTACTCATATTTTGTTACATTTATCCATAAGTATTTTGTGTCTTCTGATGTGAATGCTACTTTAAAATTTTATTTTCATATTGTTTGCTACCAGTAGAAATAAGATTGATTTTTGTATGTGGATCTTGTATCCTACAATATTAGTTTTGGTAGGTTTTTTGTACATGATGTAGGGTCTAAATAGATGATCATATTTTATATAAATAAAAAGCTTTACTTCATTTTCAATCTGTATGTATTTTATTTCTTTTCCTTTATTATATTGACTAGGACCTTTCTACAATGTGGAAAATAGAAATGATGAGAGTTAACATCCTGGTTTTGTTTCTAAGGAGAGAAAACATTGTTTACCATTAAATATGACATTAATCTCATCTAACACTGAAATATTCATTACTAAATATCATTCTCCAGTAAAAAGAATCAAAGTTTTTGGAGAAGTAGTTGATCTCACAGCTGGGATGGGGAAGGTAAAAGAAGAGCCCAAGAAATTTTGTGGTGCCAGAAAGTAAAAAAAAAAAAACAAGGAAGTTAGTTAGAAAGGTTCATGTTAATAGAACACAGGAACCAACCTTAAGTAATTTCCAGTGGTGAAAGCTAGAACAATTTCAGTAACAAAATAAATATTGTATATGACCCAAAGAATGAGATCCATGTCCATTAGTCTATTCTGTGAAATTCTTGATTGAACAAATAGATAAAATATTGAGAAGAGACATGTCTTCATTAAAGAAGTAATAGTATTGTTGCTCAGTCATGTCTTGACTCTTTGAGACCTCATGGACTATATCCTGCCAAGCTCCTCTATCCATGGGATTCTCCCGGCAAGAATACCGGAGTGGGTTGCCATTCCCTTTTCCAGGGGATATTCCTGACCCAGGGATTGAACCCAGGTCTCCCATATTGCAGACAGATTCTTTGTCACCTGAGCCACCAGGAAAGACCCATCTTCATTATAGGTAAATTCCAATTAATAAATGTAGAAGGAATCAAGGAAATAGAAAATTATCATTAAGAACCTCAGAATAAAAATTGCTGTATGCAGTTCACCAATGAATGCTAAAATTAGTGGGTAAAAGTAAAGAAACAGAATATTTGCATGTCCACATATCTCTCTCAAAATATATATTTACAAAGATTAAAAGAGTAATTTTAGAGTTTAAAAAAAACCCTTGGCAGATGCTGCAAAATCATTGTAACCCATGCTATGATAGCATGAGAAGGCTATATCACTTTTGTAGTATTCTTCAAAATGAATAACCTCAGTATGATCATGAGAAAACCTGAAGAAACCTGCATGGAGAGATATATACCTCAAAATAATTGGTCAGATAGGTTTAAAGGTAAGAGCTTCATGAAAGGCAAAGAATGACTGTGGACCTTTCACAAACTGAAGAGACTGAGGTGGCATGACTAAATGTAGTATGGAGTTCTAGATTGGATCTTGGAATAGAAAAGGGCCCTAAGTGGAAAAACTGGTGAAATCTAAATAAAGTCCTAGTTGATGAAAAAGTGAAAGTGTTAGTTGCTCAGTCATATCCAACCCTGTGTGACCCATGGACTGTAGCCTGCTAGGCTCCTCTGTCCATGGAATTCTCCAAGCAAGAATACTGGAGTGGGTAACCATTCCCTTCTCCAGGGCATCTTCCCCATCCAGGGTTGAACCTTGAGTCTCCTGCATTGCAGGCAGATTCTTCACTGTCTGAGGCACCAGGGAAGTTTTGCTTAACTTGTTTTTATCTCTTTCTGAAGTATATGTGCTACAATCTTTGAAGAGTCGCTACAGTAATACCTGTCTCATTTACATCCCTCACTGAATCATCTCCCTCATCTCTACCTGTTCCTTGGGTGTAACAGGTATTATCTGCTTCCTCCTTGTTATCATCAATCAGCTCAGGACGAAATTCATACATTTTACAACCACTGAAAACTAGTGCCTACCCTGTTTTGAAGTCCTTCTTTCCATTTCTTGCTCAAGTTTATCCATCTTTTCTTGTCTTTTCCTTCCATATAAAGAAAGATTCTGGAGTTATTTTGGCAGTATTTGGACCTAGGGCCAAACAC